TTTCGCCGTACAGAATTACCGATATACCGAGATTGCGGCAACCAAGTTCGAGCAGACGATGCAAGTGCAGCAGTTGCTTGTGGGCTTGAGGGATGAAAAGGCCCGGGAGAAGGTTTTATCCGTGAAGGAAGATTCATCATGGGAGAAAGCCTGTGATATCGTACGTCATCAAGAGGGCGTACAGGAGAACCTTCAGCAGCTAGATCAGTCAAACACGGGAGTTACATCATCCTTGTAATCTGATTTGGCGATCTCCCTAGTCAACACCGCCGAGTTTTCACCTAAACGGAACCCAATAGCTCCTTCAAAACAACTACCATCCTGTTATCGTTGCGGTCAGCATCATATCCGTTGGTCAGACTGTAAACACCAAAATACAGCTTGCCGATTTTGTAAGAAAATTGGCCACAACGAAAAAGTGTGTTTTTCCAAAAGGCGGACAAACACTAAAATACACGCCGACTACTCTAATCCAGCTGAGGATGGTGAGACGATACTTCAAATGTCTGCAGCAGATAAGCCGTTCCAATCACCCTTCAACATCAAGCTATCAGTTGATTTCCATCTCGTGAAATTTGAAATCGACACTGGTTCAGCTGTTACTCTAATCAATGTGGTCTCTCTTCAGAAAGTTCCCCATCTCCTTCCGGCTCACTCTACTTTTCTTAGTTACACTGGACATAACGTAGATGTTCGAGGGGTCTTTACGGCCGAAATTGAGCACGATGGTGAACTTCATTACTTGCCAGTCCACGTGGTCAGAAGAGGCCAACAGCCAAACCTCCTTGGACGGGACTGGATAGGACGTGTTCCGTCGGTGATATCCTACATATCTCGAATTGGAGTCAACTCCGCTATAGATTAATTGATAAAGAATCATGAAGAACCATCTCAGGATTATTATACTACACAGCCTCGCGATCCATCTGTTAAATTCAAGTTTGAATCAGAATCTCAGCCTGAATTGATCAAAGCTCGTCCAATCCCCTGTGCACTTGCAGCGGAGGTCAATGAAGGATTCGATCGTCTAGACAGAGCCGACATAATTGAGCCTACACAGTATTCAGAATGGGCAGTCCCAATTATTCCTGTTCTTCAAGCCGATGGTTCCGTGGGTATTTCTGGTGACTACAAGCTCGCTACCAACGCAGAAACTAAACTAAACTATTATTCACTCCCGCGGAGCGAGGACAGGTATGAATCCCTTTCAGATGGTCAGCGATTTACAACTTTGGACTTAAAAAATGCCTACAACCAAGTCATCCTTATTAAAGAATCCCGAGACGCCACCACCATCAATACATACTGGGGGTTGGTTCAATACAAAAAACTACCCTTTGGGAATTATTGCTGGAACTGCTCGGACGTCGAGCAACGTGCCTTGGAACATGCAAAGGTGGCCCCTACCTCATCCTCTCCCCGGATTCCTCACGACCCGTAAAAGCTGATGCTACAGAAAGGCAGAGGTTCACCGTACGGCCTGGGTTCAGTTCTCAGGGACCGGATATCAGAAGATGAAGATGCGATCACTGGAACAAGGACTTTATTTTCCTGACGTTTCGGATTCC